TAATGTAACTCAGGTTACACTTTTGTAGTTGTTATTGTTTCAATTGTTTCTTATAGATCATAGCACAACTTAGGATCATATATTCAATTTTTTTCACTATATATAGCTTTGACACAATGTTAATTATTATTTTTATTAACTATTTATGTCATTTATTTAAATGCCCTTAAACATTTGTTTAATAAAAAGTCAATGATCTTCATTATAATTGAAATAAACGTAGAATTCCGAATTTAAACTTAATGATAAATGACTAATAGTGTCATAAAGGATTTAAAATATAAAATTTATTAACATTTTTAGTTCTCTCAGATCTACATACATATGTGTGATCTTCAAAATATAAATAATAATCCAATAATGACCGGTTAAATTCGACCTCATTAAACACTACATCTACAAACATGTCATATCAATTAGGCAACATTTTTGAAAAAATTAACAATAATAATCTTACAAAGAAATACAGTAATAAACAAAATTGAACGTACATTTTACGGATCTTAATCATAAACTTTTATCAACTTTGTTAAATGTTTATGAATAAGGCAGTAAAAGTTTACTTTAGTATCTCTAGAATCTATTACGCATGTAAAAAGATCCAATTAAAGTTCAATTTCCTCTTCCCATTTCCTATGCGTCATAAATAAAAACATTTAATATTGTGAGTAGGGAATAGCGTAGACTTAAACTTATGTATCTATTACATAATTTCCAAAATTAATCGAAAAAAACAAAAATCAAACGGCAATTAATCGACTTCTTAATATATTTGTTAATGAGAATTAAACATTAAAAACATATAAATAGATATAATCATTATAAATAAACATTTTTAGCGTAGGTGTGTACAAATATGATGTTTTATCTCTAACAAAAAAACGGTTTTTTTCGAAAAAAAAACTAAACATGAATGAAACAAGTCAAGAAATTAAAAAATTACCATAAATTTCTAAAAATCTCACAAAATTCTACAGATCAGTAGCAAGTTTAATTTTGTTGTTCAAAATTATTACTAAAAATTATAAATAACAGCAAAAATTATGTGATCACTAATACGTATTACCATTTTAAAAAGGAATCTCTAAAATCTGCTTAAATTCATTATGGCGTGATCACTCATATTTCCCACCAAAAATTTATTTTTTATATGAAAATCAAAAATCGCCTCTAGTTTGTTAATAAGAGTTCCTACAGCAAAAAGAACAATAATCTGTGATCACTCCATATTTCCCACCAAAAATCGATTTTTATATGAAAAATCTAAGAAATCTATAATCGCCTCAAGTTTGTTAATAAAAGTTCCTACAGCAAAATGGACAATAATCTGTGATGACTCCATATTTCCCACCAAAAATCTATTTTTATATGAAAAATCCAAAAAATCTAAAATTGCCTTTAGTTTGTTAATAAGAGCTCCTACAGCAAAAAGGACAATAATCTGTGATCAATCAATATTTCCCACCAAAAATATATTTTTATATAAAAAATCCAAAAAATCTATAATTGCCTCTAGTTTGTTAATAAGAGCTCCTACAGCAAAAAGGACAATAATCTGTGATCATTTCTCATCAAAAATCTATTTTTAAATGAAAAATCCAAAAAATCTAAAATTACCTCTAGTTTGTTAAAAAGAGCTCCTACAGCAAAAAGGACAATAATCTGTGATCAATCCATATTTCCCACCAAAAATATATTTTTATATAAAAAATCCAAAAAATTGCCTCTAGTTTGTTAATGAGTGCACCTACAGCAAAAAGGACAATAATCTGTGATCACTCCATATTTCCCACCAAAAATCTATTTTTATATGAAAAATCAAAAAAATCTGTAATCGCCTCTAGTTTGTTAATAAAAGCTTCTACAGCAAAAAGGACAATAATCTGTGATCACTCCATATTTCTCAACAAAAATCTATTTTTATATGAAAAATCCAAAAAATCTATAATCGCCTCTAGTTTGTTAATAAGAGCTCCTTCAGCAAAAAGGACAATAATCTGTGATCACTCCATATTTCCCACCAAAAATCTATTTTTATATGAAAAATCTAAAATTGCCTCTAGTTTATTAATAAGAACTCCCACAGCAAAAAGGACAATAATCTGTGATCACTAAATATTTCCCACCAAAAATCTATTTTTATATGAAAAATCCAAAAAATCTATAATCGCCTCTAGTTTGTTAATAAGAGCTCCTACAGCAAAAAGGATAATAATCTGTGATCACTCCATATTTCCCACCAAAAATCTATTTTTATATGAAAAATCTAAAATTGCCTCTAGTTTATTAATAAGAGCTCCCACAGCAAAAAGGACAATAATCTGTGATCACTAAATATTTCCCACCAAAAATCTATTTTTATATGAAAAATCCAAAAAATCTGTAATCGCCTCTAGTTTGTTAATAAGAGCTCCTACAGCAAAAAGGATAATAATCTGTGATCACTCCATATTTCCCACCAAAAATCTATTTTTATATGAAAAATATAAAATTGCCTCTAGTTTATTAATAAGAGCTCCCACAGCAAAAAGGACAATAATATGTGATCACTCCATATTTCCCACCAAAAATCAATTTTTATATGAAAAATCTAAGAAATCTAAAATTGCCTCTAGTTTGTTAATAAGAGCACCTACAGCAAAAAAGACAATAATCTGTGATCATTCCATATTTCCCACCAAAAATCTATTTTTATATGAAAAATCTAAAAAATCTAAAATTGCCTCTAGTTTGTTAATAAGAGCTCCTACAGCAAAAAGGACAATAATCTGTGATCACTCCATATTTCCCACCAAAAATCTATTTTTATATGAAAAATCCAAAAAATCTATAATCGCCTCTAGTTTGTTAATAAGAGCTCCTACAGCAAAAAGGACAATAATCTGTGATCACACCACATTTCTCACCAAAAATCCATTTTTATATGAAAAATCTAAAAAATATATAATCGCCTCTAGTTTGTTAATAAGACCTCCTACAGCAAAAAGGACAATAATCTGTGATCACTCCATATTTCCCACCAAAAATCGATTTTTATATGAAAAATCTAAGAAATCTAAAATTGCCTCTAGTTTGTTAATAAGAGCACCTACAGCAAAAAAGACAATAATCTGTGATCACTCCATATTTCCCACCAAAAATCAATTTTTATATGAAAAATCTAAAATTGCCTCTAGTTTGTTAATAAGAGCACCTACATCAAAAAGGACAATAATCTGTGATCACTCCATATTTTTCACCAAAAATCTATTTTTATATGAAAAATCCAAAAAATCTAAAATTGCCTCTAGTTTGTTAATAAGAGCTCCTACAGCAAAAAGGCCAATAACCTGTGATCAATCCATATTTCTCACCAAAAATCTATTTTTATATGAAAATTCTATAATTGTCTCTAGTTTGTTAATAAGAGCTTCTACAGCAAAAAGGCCAATAACCTGTGATCAATCCATATTTCTCACCAAAAATCTAAAAAATCTATAATCGCCTCTAGTTTGTTAATAAGAACTCCTCTAGCAAAAAGGACAATAATCTGTGATCACCCTAAAAAACTCTGTAAAAAATATTTCATAAAAAAACAAACATTTATTCTTTGATACAAACATTCACTAATATGTAATTGTATTTAATTTTTATTACAGATTTGTTTCCATTTCATCGCTACCATCAAAAATCAATTCCAAAACAATCTGTCTATGCAGTGAACCATGAAGTTAAGCAGAACCAAGAGGCTCATATGAAACATCAACAAATTATATATTAATTGTTTTCAAAATATAATAAATAATAATTTAATTGGTTTATATTTATATTTAAAACACTTTAATAAAATAAAATTTTGCTAAAACATGTTAATTTTGCTTTATTTTCCACTTTTAAATTCAAATATAGCGTTTTTTTCTTTTTAAATTTAACGTATAAAATTATTTTGGTCTGGCAATGCCGTCTAAAGAAATGGGCAAATTTCGTTGATGCTGGCAATGCTGTAACGACATTGTGCCAGCGCCATCTTTTGTTTGAAAAAATTTTTGTGTTGCACTAGCAAAAAATACTTTTGCAATAGATGGCGCTGACGCTTGCCCTTGACAGGGTTGCCCATTTTCAAGAAATTGGAATTTTGCGGGATTATTTAAAAATGCTATAACTTCTAAACTACTGCATTAATTTCAAAAATTCTTTCACTATACGATTTAAAAATATTATGAGCTTCTAAAAATCATTGTTTTAATATTGTAGTTTGATTATTTCTAGGAGAAACTGTTATCGAAAAATGGAATGTTAAAATTTTATGTAATTTGTTAAAATTTTTTTCTATTTTAAGTGAAATTTCATAAAATTTTAGTAATTTAATTGAAATGCTATCGAATTAGTGTAATAAATATTAAATACATTTAATTAAAACAATTTTTTAAGGATTTATAACTTAATTACTTATCCTTCCAGCCGTGTGTGTTGCTTTCCTTAAATAAATTTAAACAAATAAAATATTTTATTTATATTTTCTTCTTATTATTCAAAGTAAAACTTTAAATTTGTATTATATTATATAGACACAAAACGTAGGTAATTATTATTTGTTAATTATATTTTATTAAAGTAAAAATTTTATTATTACTATTTATAGATTATTTTTTATATTATATATATATATTTATTATTAATTATGCACTAACTATACATTTACATACAAAAACAAAACAAACAAAAATTAAAAAATAATAAGAGCAATCCTCTCCGATGCCTTCACAGTTGTTAAAAAGAAATTATATGTTTTAAAAACACTTCTTTTTTTTTCTTTGTTAAAATTAATTCTATATTTAATAAATAGTTATATGTATATGAAAAAAAGATATATAAACATATTATGTATGTATATAAATAAATTTAGAAATTATATTTTAATTGTACATCTGTTAAAGAAAGGTACAATATACATACATACATACAATTCATATACATACACATCATAAATTAACATATATTTTTATTTCTTTTTTTATTATATTTAATACAATTACAGCAAGAACATTTTTTATAAACATGTTAATTGAACAAGTTTTTTTTACTTTTTTATTTAAATGATTTTTTACTAAGAAAGATTGACTACTACTTGTTAGGTGTGTAAATAAACAAAAAACAATTATGTATAATAATAATAATAAGCAACAAAAACATAAATTTGGCCTAATGATTATATAATTTATTAAATTATAATAACTACACAAATATTTCAAAAAAAAATATAAACAAATCAACCAACTACATTTATAATTTGTTTTCTTCTTAAGGCAGATTTTAGTTAAAAAGAAAATTTAATTTAGAATTTTTATAAAAAAGGGCAGTTTTTAAGGTTCATTCAATCAAGTCAATCAAGATTTACTAATGTTGTAATCTTATTATCATTATATTGGTCTGTTATTTAATTGAACATTTTCGAGATATAAAGTGTCTTCTTAATTAGTATTATTTTTAATTAATTATTAAAAGAAGTCTGCATTTTCAAATGAGATAATATTTTTTTCTTTTTAGTAATAATTTAACGTCTGACATGTAAGTTTATAGGAGCGCAAATTTGTTTTGTGTGAAGTTTTGTTAAACATTGCAAAGTTGTTGTTTGTTAATTTCATCTCATTCATGAATTATAATATAAATTTCACACAAACCAAACTGTGACAAACACAACAACATGTACTCTTACATATCCCAACGTATTGACAATTATTATTATTATTTTTTTATTTTTTCAAAACTATGTTATTAAAATTAAATTAAGGAATTGAAAAGGAAATTATTTTTCTTTTATAGAATAAATTAAGGAATTCAAAGTGAAATTATCATAAACATTTCTATGTAATTACAGACTTAAATAGATAAATTAATAAAGAATATTATAAAAAAAATTAGTATTATTTGTTCTTGCATACTTAAAAATTTCAATACCACTCCATTAGATGGACTTTAACTAGATGAAAAAGAAAGAGTAATAGCTTAGATGGAAATAAATACATACATACAATAACTAACATACATACATTTACATACATATGTAGTAGGTTGGTAGGTACTTAAATATAATTATAATAACAATAGTAAGCATTATTAAATTTAATATACTTACATGAACAAAAACGTAGAGACAAACAAACAATTATGTAGACAGATAGACAGACGACAGGCAATCATTTAATCATTCAATGTAACTAACTGTGTCCTTACTAAAGTATATCCGGTGATGAAAGTTGATGCTGCTGCTGTTGTTGTTGTTTTTGACCTTGTCGATTTTGCGTATATTTTGGTGAATTAGGGGTGAACTGTTGTTGTTCTTTGTAAACCTCATATTCGTTTTTAATATTAACTAAAAACTCACTTTGTTTTTTCTGTTCAATGATAATGGCATCTAATTTATTATCCAGACAAGTGGGTAGACGACTGGAACAATGTAGACGTAAATTAGACGTTTGAGCATCAATACAATTTAATGACTCTCCGACTTGACGTAGATGTGACGATATAAAATCATGAATCTCAGCATCGTTATCATTCCTTTCGTTGGGTGATAGTAAACAAGAGTTTGTTGTAGGCGAGGAGGTGGTAGATAATGATGTTGAAGAGAGTGTGGAGGTGGCGGAAGAATTACTTAGTGTACGTTTTGCTGGTTGTGGTGTATGATAAGCATCATCATCATCTTCTTCTTTAAAGGGCGTCGTCGACGTTGAAGTATCCACACGTATGCGCTTAAGAACAGATACATGCTGAGCATTATTGTTATCAATGTAGTTGTCAGGTGAATTTAAATTAGATGATGTGGGCGACGAGGAATATAAACTAAATGTTGCATCCTGACATTGTGGTTTAGCTCGCATTTGCAATACACTGGGACGTTTTAGCAAAGTTTCATTATTGAATTCTTGTTCATCTGTTTGCGTTAAATCATCTGTAGTTTTATTATTATTATTATTGTTGTTGTTACTTGTGTTATTATTAAGATTATTGTTGTTATTATTTTGGTTATTTTGTACTGCAAAACTTTTAGCTGCTGTTGCAATTACAACACTTACAGATTTGGAAATTGAGTTTATTACAGATACCGGTTCTGGCGGCACCAACGCCAATGGTGGTGTTGTCGTATGACGCTTAACATCATCTTCCGAGTGTATTTCATCGACCACACAAGCATTTGTTTGACGTTTTTGTAAATTTTCTATTAAATACAAAACTATTCTCTCCAATTGTTGGGGATTTTGTGATGCTGGAACATCTTGCATAGTATTTGTGGGCACCTTAGCATTTATTATAATCGAAAATTTATTCTTCATTTCTTGTACCTTACGTTTGCCTTCTTCCTCGTCCAGCAATGTGTTAACGCAAACAAAGGAATGTACTTTATTAGTGCCTTTATCGATTTCCAAATAGCCTTTGGTGTTTAAGTAGATGAAATTGCCATTTCGCGACAATAGTCGATAACAACTTTCACCATAATCACTGTTACAATCGTACATTTGACGTAAAGCCACAATGACCCAACGAACATCGTCTTGATGCATAAAAGAAAATGGACTTAAATTTCGAACCTAGAATGATTGAAAATCAATTTAAATTGTGTTTATAAGGTGATAAGGCATTGACAATTATGATTCAAAATTTTATTCAAAATCACGTTTTAAATATTTTTACATCAAAATCGAAATATTACTTAAATCCACAGTCGTGAATTTTAAAAATAAATAATTTTCCCAAACATTCTTAAACTTACCTCGTCTTTTAAATAACCAGCTACCAAACCAATACGATTATCACAATCAATAATACGACCATCGATTAAATGGCGTGTTTTATATTCTAAACGATTAGCTTCCAAGGAGTAATTCAGTATTTTTGGTGGTCTTATAATACGAGCCATTGCCACGAGAACAATGTCATTTCCACTGACACCATGTAAAGCTGCCTGCGCAATGGCATCATGCTGCATAAGATGAGGTATGAATAAACCACTACCACCACCACCTCCATTCATGCCGTTATTATTCACCCCTCCACACATGGAAGACGACGAATTATTACGCGATCGTCTTATAAGTTGAGATACTATGGGATAATTACACGATCCGGTGGCCAAGGCCGAATAATCACTACGACGAAAACAACCATCGATTTTGACAATTTCATAGATTTTTTTGGATTCTGAACGAGTGCAAGCTCTAGCTAAACGCACAGTGAAACAACGCTTATCTGCCCGTAGTTTTTCATCAATTTCAGCCAAATAGTTTTCATCATTTTCCAAATGATGGTGATTATGATCGTCTTCATCAGGTTGGTGCGGATGAGATGTTGTGTAGGAACGATGTTGTTGTTCTTGCGAGAAGCTGGGAGATGTTGATGACGATGATGTGGAGGTGGAGGAGGATGTTTTTGTAGAATTATGATAATCAAAAAACAATGATTCAATATCACTGGGTATCAATTCTTGTCGTAACATTTCCTGATCTTCTGGATGTGTAATTTGCAGAAGATTTTGACCATACAGGTCGGATTGACAGTGACCCAACAAATGTTCAACACTGGATGATATCAACACTATTTGCCCGTGACAAGTGAGTGTTATAAAGAAACTGTCCAGCAGATGTAGTAAAGTGTTTGCCATTACATGACTATCGCCTTTGTGTAGCATTTTTCGACGTGCAGCCGATTTGCCAAATACATACTGCAGTCGCAGTCCATGGGTGGTCAAACGAAGAACCCCCGTTTTGTCTAGACGTTTTGGTGAATCGGCTGCATGTGGTACCATTTTTGCCAATGCACCAATGCTGGCATTCAATTTATCTCTACGTTGTTTTTCTGCTAAATTTCGTGCTTCACGACCATTTATAACAGTTGATGCTGTGTCTGTTTCTGAGGGCGAAGCAATTGGTGTAGGTACAACGCTAGCTGTTTTAGGGGACGTGGAGGGCGACGTTGTATTTTGCGTATTAGCCATATTTTTAACTGCAATTTTAATGGGTTGCACTAAAGTTTGTGTTGGCATAGTCGTCATTATTTGATTTGTTTCTCTTTGCGCCTTTTCCTATCTATCTGCTCTGCTCACATTGACCCCTTAACTCGTAATTTTTTATTCTTTTCCTTTTTTGTTATTGTTTATTATATTCTGTTTTTTTCGTTATTTGTTTATTTCGTAGCACTGTTCTTTTATATTATCCGTAATATTTTATACACTTTATTTATTTTATCACTTATGTATTTTTATTTTGTTTTTATTTCTCAAAATTTCTCTTCTTTCTTACTTATTCTTATTTTAATTTCTATTTTATGTTCTTATTGTTGTTTATTGTTATATTTTCAAGGTCTTCCTTGTGTGTTTTTCTCACCATTCGTCTCCCTCTTTAACGGCTGATTTAGACTCTTCTATCAATTGTTTATCTGCCTCGCCACCACCTCCTTCCATAATTTAGTACCAATACCTTTTTACCAACCAACCAACTAGCCAGCCAGCCATTCATCTAATCGTTGTTCGTCTTTTGGTTGCGTGTCCGTTTTTTTTTTTCTACTAAAATTTTACGACTCTGTTCCACTTTTGTGTTTTTATTTGCTGCAGTTTCTATTAATTAAATAAAGTTGTATTTTTTGGCAAACTATTTATCTTTCAGATTTTTATGTTACTTTCACAATTTTTCTATTAGAATTGTTTATAATAATTGTTTTTTAACTTATTTTTTATCAGCTACGAAATGGAAAAGTTCCACCGAAAATATTTGTCGTCTCAATTTTATTTGTTGAGAGATATGTTCAGTGAGCGAATTGGATTTTTGCAGAAAATGTAGACAAAAGGGAATGAAAAAATTTAGTCGTAGTGTAATCACGTCCAAAATATCAAACGGTTATAAAGTAATACCGTTAATATAAAGTAATTGCAATTTATTGGGAGAGATGTTTGCAGAATACTAATAATAAAATTACTGTCAGAAATTTAAAGAATTCCCTAAATTAATATTTTATTTTACTAATTTATACTAGAGTTTATTAATTAACATTTTGAAAAATTAAGTTCAAACTTTTTGTTAAAGACCTACTATTTACTTAATATATTGAGTGTTAAAGATGATTTATTACAGCATGTAAAAATAAACATTACAGTTACACTTTGGAGCCCTATGATAGTTGGAAAAAATAAATAAAACACATCTGAAAATTTAACCAACTATCGAATGTGATGATTTTAAACCCGCCACCAAAATATTTGGTGTCAGCTACCAACGCCGTCAATCTTTGTCGGCGCAGATCTTTGAGTCAAACAATATTTTTGCAGTATTGATATTTTATGAATAACTCCAATTAGAACAAGAAAGAAATCTTTTAATAGACCTAAAATGAGCCCAACAAATAAAAATTAATCATCACAGCCACATTAAAACGCAAGCAGTAAAATTATGTCGAAAATAAACGAACCCAGCTCTCCAGTGCAAAAGGTATGGAAGCCAGAATTGTATAAAATACAAATGGAAGCACCAACACCCAAACCACTACACTGCCACAAGTTTCTGGCGAACTCTTGTGAACAAGACGAAAAAATACCCAATTTTTATGGTACGGAATATCATGGACGTATGGGCCATTTAGAAGCTGAAGAAATATTAAAAAATAAACCAGATGGTACATTTTTGTTGCGACGTAGTCCAAGCGCTCAAGATTATTACACTTTGAGTTTACGTTTCAATCGCAAGACAAAACATTTTAAAATTTACTATAAAACTGGCAAGGGACATTATTTGCAAGAGCAATCAACACATTTCGATACAATACACGACTTGGTCGCTGATGGTTTGGTAAAGTTCTATGTACAATTGCATGCCGCCTCCATTCTACAGGAGATAAATCAACCAAATGGTAATTGTTATCAACAAAGTCCCTACATGACTTTAAATCGTAGAAAACTAAGAGCTCTTTCAAATGATTTACGCAAATCTTTGATAAAACAAACGAATTGCTCGGTTAAAGATGACGGGAATTTGCCGTCATCTGAGAACGCTAATACAACAAATGAGTTAGATGGTTGTTCACAGAGTGCGCCCGTAGCCAAGGACAATACGGAGGATACAATTTTACCGCTTGTCTATGAAAAAGCTCATGCTTTCAAGGTGCATACTTTCAAAGGTCTTAACTGGTGTGAGGTGTGTGCCAATTTCCTGTGGGGCTTCACAGCACAAGGTGTTAAATGTGAAGATTGTGGTATAATAGCCCATAATAAATGTTCCGAGTTAGTGCCAGCTAAATGTTTACCCGATCTAAAACGTATTCGCGGAGTTTTTGGCACTGATTTAACAATCGTTGCTCAACTCTATCAATGTTCCATTCCATTTGTAGTTCGTCGTTGTGTGGAAGAAGTGGAAGCTCGTGGCATGCTTCAGGAGGGTATATATAGAGTTTCCGGCTTTGCAGACGAAATCGATGCTCTGAAGTTGGCTCTCGACAGTGATGGCGAAAAAACGAATATGTCTGAATCGGCCTATGGAAATATTAATGTTATAGCAGGGACCCTAAAATTGTATTTACGCTTGTTGCCTGTACCATTGATTACCTTTCAGGCGTATCCCAATTTTATGGAAGCAGCACGTAAGTCATTAGCTTGTGATAAATATAATGAACACTGATCTATTTCGTTTCAATAGGTAATAATAATCAAGATGAACAGGTTAAACAAATGAAAGATGCTGTCAAGAATCTCCCTTTAGCCCATTATAATTGTTTGAAATTTATGATGGAACATTTAAAAAGGTAAACACTTACAATCAATTAGTGAAATATGTGATGGAAATTGTTGGATTTTTATATCAATTAATATTTACAGAGTCGCCTCACATTATGCCGTAAATAAAATGAATGAACATAATTTGGCCACTGTTTTTGCCCCCACATTAATAGCTACGCCACAACATCTTACCAATCTAACCGAGGAGATATTTATGCTTTCTTCATTAATAATGAATTGTTCACTTATTTTTAACTAAATTATTATTTTATGTATGTGTAACACACACATCAAAACGAATTTATGAACAATTGTAATATTTTTTTAGTATATAATTTATACTTAGTAATAATCTTGCACCAAAGTATTCTTTACGAGTCCCAGTTCTTCATAAAAATTCATTCAAAAAGCCACACAACCTCCATCCCTCCATTGTGACAAGATCCCACCCCCAAACACTTTTAACTCAAAGAGCATTTATTTGTACAATCAACCTTTTGTACTTTTATATAAAAAATAATAAAATAATAAGTGTATACAAATATTTTTGTATATAAAATAACTTTTGTGGGTTTTTAACTATGATATTGTTTAGTTTATTTATATAAGTATATCAAATAACGAGGGAACATCGTTGTAATACAAAAATTATTAAGTTTGGTCTTTAGTTTAGGCATCCTTCTCATTTTCTCACTTTTTTCTTTGTTTTTATTAAAAAGCCTCTTAGCAAAACAAAATACTTTTTAGTTTTTATGTTATAACATTAAATTATAAGATATGGATGTTGTAGTTTCTTTTTATTTAAATTATACAAAATTATTAAGCATTTTATGCTAAATTTATAAATGTCTTCATGTTTTTTTTTCTTGTTTCGTTTTGTTCAATTATATATTGTACATTACCTTTTTGTATACATTGTTTATAGAAAATAGGGCGTTATATTATGTGGTGGTATCACACGATCTGTTTCTGGTACGGCCACAAATATTTTAGCTGTTCTGTCTTTTGCTGTTTGAAAACTTAATATGGCTGCCACATTACCACAACGATAGCAATAGTTTGGTGCCGACCATACTGTTACTAATTTGCTATTAAACATATATTTGATGCCTTCGTTTACCAATTGATGGGCACGACATATCAATTCCAAATTATTGATTTGCATAAAATCTTTTGTGACCAATTGACCAAAAAGCCAACCAGCTCCACGCGGACTTTCACCCCTAAAAAATAAAGATTTATTTAGAGGGAGTTATACGTTAATGTTATCCTTGAGAAATTAAAAAAATAGATTTTTCTAAAAAAAATTAATTCCGAAAATTTGAATATATGTATAACATTTTCAGAAAAAATCTAGTTCTTAAAAAATTGGTAATTTTTCGAAATATTTCTAAAAAATTAAGAATTTTTGAAATTTTTGTAAAAAATATTTTGGATTTTTTCTTTTCTACAATAATAAAGAATTGTATTATTTCAACTTATGACCAATTATATGTAAGGCAATTTATTAATCCTCAATAAAACCTCGTTTCCATAACATTATTTGTACTCATTACATTTGTACTCATTACATTACTCATAACATTATTTGTACTCACCAATAATCCATATCTTCGGGATCGGACCAAACTAAATCACAGAAAGCACCTTTATAAGGAATTTCTCCATTACGTTCAATGGTACGTATTTGATCAAGCGTAATGATTTCAGGACTTAAACCTCCATGAACACATAAGACTTCTTCATCAATAATCTAAAATAAACCGTACAAATGATAATCGTCCAAACAAACAAAAACTTATAGCTTAACACCATATTACAATATTAGTTAGTTTCTTAATTTTAAAACGAAATTCGGAGTAACCTCACTAAATACTTACAGCTGCTATGGTCAATAAATCAAAAACTTTACAGCAATATTTCCATGCATTAGCATTACCATATTTGCTAAAGCACTCATCGTAGAAACCATACACCTTAGTTATTTGACGTGACTCATGATTGCCCCGCAACAGAGTAATGCGATCAGGATAACGTGCCTAAATAGAATAGACATTAGAAAAAATTATATCGCACATTGGTATTGCTAACCTTAAGTGTTAAGAGACGGGTAAGTGTTTCCAAACTGTAATAGCCACGATCTACAAAATCACCCATAAATATGTAATTAGTATCTGGTATGGGTCCACCAGTACGAAATAGTTCTTCCAAATCATAAAACTGTAATAAATAAGAGGAACATGTTTAGAATACAACGCCTTCTTTTCGCTCCAACATACAAATATTCTCACCTGTCCATGTATGTCACCACATACTGTAACTGGGGTACTGACGGGTTGTATGTTCGATTCCTCCAATAATATTTCACACACAAGATCGCATAGTTTCTTTAGATCGTTTTCTGGCAAGTATTTACATTCCTTTACTATTTCAATCCATTTATCTAAATCAGCCATTATATTTTGCACAAGAATATCCACGTAAATTTATTTAAATAAATCACAGAAATGCGTATTCTTCCAAATCGTATCAAATTTTTTTTACAAATGCTTCTTCGTAAAGTGCTCAATGCTAATCACTTGGAAATGTTATCACAATAAGAGATTGGGTATTTTGAGTTGCCATATTTAAGGGATTTCCACAAAGTTTTCTTTGATTTTTTAAATTATTTTAATGAAAAATCAACATACCCATTTATTTTAATATTTATAGTAATTACTTTACAGTAAACTCTTTAAATTTATTGCAAAACCTCTAAATTTTAGAGTCTAAAATAAGATCACTAGTGTATTTTTAAAATACAGCTGAAAATATAGCCGAGCTTATTGCCGATTTTACGCCGCTGCCGAAATTTTTAGTGTCATTCACCGCCACCGTTGTTTTTCGTCGCAGGGCTCTCAGTCATTGTATGTATCAAAGTATATTAATAATTATAAAACTGGATTGGAATAATTATTAAACTGGAGTATTTCTGGTAATTTTTCGTTCTTTAACTGGTACTTTTTGAATTTTCTAAAATATTGAATATATAAACATAAAATTAAA